TAATATTCATACTCCTGCTTATCGGAGCTGAAGTCAATTGTCGGTGGATCGCAGCTCGAATACCAGTTAGAGTACTTGGTATTAGCGGTTGGCCTTTTTCCGATTTAACTTCAGCGTAGAATTTCCGCAGTAATTCATTTAGCTCAACCGGTGTTACACAATTGAAGTCAACTTTCAGCTTTCGTTTGTCGCACCATTTCTCGAATTTTTTGATCCCCCACGAAGTGGCTCTCTATGTATTTTCCGCCTGACCTTTTGCTTCTAATTTGTCCAAATCTTCTAGCCCGCTCGAAGACGATTCGACGACTGAAAAAACTGCAGTTCAAAACCGGAGTTTCGCAAATGAATGGTTTTCCCGCGTCAACACTAGGCTTACTCTAATTGCTAAAATCCATCGGATGATGAAGCAAGAACCAATCAGCTGTAGGGCTGATAATGCATTAGCAGCCCGCTGTCAGTCTTTTGCGGCCCGCTGAGCGTGTGTTTTGAAGAGGCCGATTTTCTATTTGGCCGCGTATATTGATAATAATTAATAGTTAATTTCTTCTATTTCTGTGGAGTAAAAATTGGTCTGCTCGATGAAGGGAAGTAACATATTTTATCCACCATTATTCCACTGTAATAAGTAGAGAAACCCAAAAATGATTTTTCTCGCTGCTCAGTAAAAAAACCGTTTTTATGCTATGCGAGAATTTTTTCTAGCTAAGCAGGTGCACAAAAGTTATTGGTCGCCACAACGAGTGATACAACCACAAAAATATGAAAAGTTACAAATACCAATTGCTTCGACCTCAGAGGAAGCATAATATTTTTTCGCTCACTTGCAAAGCGTTCAATTTGTTGATAATAGCTGGGCAAAACACTCAGCGGCAAATAAATCACCTGGGGTATTTCGTGCATTTTCCAGAATGTAGTAATTTCAAAAACAGGAAGACAATTTTTGGATCATAAATGATTAAGTAGTCACCGCTTCTCCGCCGTTAGCAGAATGAGACAGAATCTTTCAGGACTAGTTTAAACCGCTTTTTTCATCATACTTCACAAGGATTTAAAAAACAAAAATCCGTCAGACAAAATAAGAAGAACCACAAAAGCAAACTTAGAATAACATTGAATACCAAGTCGAGACTATTTGTTGATAATAGTTGGTCAAAACACTCAGCGGCAAATAAATCACCCGGGGTATTTTGTGCACTTCCAGCATGTAGTAATTTTACTAAACAGGAAGACAATTTTTGGATCATAAATGATTCAGTAGGCACCACTTCTCCGCCGTCAGAAGAATAAGACAGAGTCTTTCAGGACAAGTTTGAACTGCTATTTTCATCATACTTCACAAGTATTTAAAAAACAAAAATCTGTCAGACAAAATAAGAACTACAAAAGCCAAAGAAGGCAACTCAAAGCGGTTTAGTTTCTTCTTATTTATACAATCATTTTTTAATTTTAATTTTTTGGTATTTTTTGTACGTTGGTGTGTAAAGGCTTAGCCAAAACGAAGTAAAATCATGTAAAAATTGTTCAATCTAACTTTTTCGAGGCGATGTTTGGTAGTGTTAAATTATATAACAGTTGCCAAGAAAATGTTGTAACGAATTTGTTAGAGTTTTCAAGTTCATCTGATTAGAATTATAATCTATTTGGTGATGCGTCGTTGCGAATCGTTGGCGAGTGGTTTGTTTTTTGCCCAGATCCTCACAATAGATATAACAAGGTTGCTGCAGAGGAAAAGTTTGGTTTGTACGTTATTGACAGCTGATTTATCATGACTACTTCCATTATTTTCTCTTTTACCTGTAGTTAAAATTTAGTGGGCCGCACTTACAGCCTTTGGTTTAGAGAAGGATTTTGATCACCTATCCCCAAACGATATCACAAATTCACCTGCTCAGAGTCGCTAATGGAAAGTTGATAAAAGTCTCATCTACTTTGGGGTAATTTGATGCCACGAATAGTGTTCATAGAAATAATCCTGTGCGACGACAGAGATACAATGTAGTCCTGGAGCTACTTAATCAAATGACAGTTTCATGTTGAATTATTAATTTAGGCAATCATAACTAACTAAAGTTCTATTGAATTGTTGCTAGCTCGCTGTTTTCAATCGCAGAAAAATTGTTTTTGTGCCTCGCAGGTCCCGGGCATTCATACGCAGTGGATATTTTTCTCACACTGTAATTTATGTCATACTGCAGTGGGCAATGGGTGAATTTGCCTCGATTATGGATTTACCGATCAGCTGTATGGGTGGTTTAAGTTCGCAATTTTTGTTTTCGGCCTCAGAATCTCGTGTTATCAGTTTTAGCTCGCAAAATAGTGAACAATATCTGAAGTTCTTCGACTAACTGTTAATCAGTGACCTCAGGGACAGTGGAAATAATGGTGGATAAAGTATGTTACTTCCCTTCATCGAACAGACCAATTTTTACTCCACAGAAATAAAAGAAATTAACTTTTAATTATTTTGAGACTCACCTTCAATTTAACATATGGCAAGCCATGTTTTTTTAAGAAAAGTGCAGAGTTTCCGAAAACATCCACTGCATAGCTAAATTAGCGTGGCGATAAGAGAATGAAGTCTTTGATGATTTTAAACAAAAAAAAAAAGATTCACAAAGGCTGATGCGAAAAAAAAAAAAAGCTTCAAATGAATAACTTAAAGTTATAAATCAAGTTTCTATTGTCACCGATGCATTACTACTTAGATTGGTTGGCAGACGACACTCAGAGCTGCGCTGGGAAAGTAAAACATCCAGTTTTTCCTAGCAGTATAATTTGCCATAAGTTTTTCGTGGAAAGTCGAAAGATTTCTCCTCTCTGACCGGATAGTGAGTACCTCTGAAATTGCATGTGTGTTTCTAAGTGGAAAAGGTTAGCATTTTCAAACTGTTGTCTGACCAACTCCGAATGTTGGCGAATTCCGAAAAAAATTCGTTTTTTAATTCAACAAACTGATCGGATGTAATATTTTGGTAATTTTTCTGATTAACCACGAGGAAAACCACAGTCTGAAACAACTTTTACTTCTGGAGATCTGTGTTTCCAGTAATCTTTATAGCTCTGTAAGGTAAATCTTGATCCGGCAGAACTACAGTTTTTGTTCAATAATTATTAAGCATTTATTAGCCAGTGCTAGTCTAACATTGCCCTAAAATAACCTCTCTGGCTTGTTTCGTAGTCATTGACATTATAAATTCTTTTGAAATTATCGAAGAATCTTCCTTACAGAGTTAAGACTTGTAAAGCGATTGGAAAACAAATTTCGAAGTGAACGATTAATTATGAGTGACTGTGCGTGTATCACCCAATATCTTTCATTCTATGTGAGGATGTCAACTTTTTGAATCGCTGCCTTCTCTTATCTTCCGGATTTGTGAGCCAGCCGGAAGTAATTGACATCAACTCCAGCGATCACAATTTTCGACTGATCGATTGATCAAACAATCAGTCATAACTCATTTTTACTTAGTTTAAACGCCCAAGAGATGAGAATATTGTTCGTAAGAGAATGAAATGGTATGCACCTACTTAGCTAGTAAAATTTCTCGCCTAGAAACGGTTTTTTTTCCTGAGCAGCGATAAAAATCATTCTTGGGTTTCTCTACTTATTACTTTCTTCAGCGTTTCCATCCTTGGGTGATTTATCAGTTTCAATATTCATTTTCTTGTTCCAATTTAGGTCGTCAACGGATTTCTTCATTCTAAGGGTTACCATGGCTAATTAGCACAAATAGAAGGTACGTGCTACTGGGTATTATTTATATACTTTCATATTTCGCCGACTTAACGAAGTTTAAAAATAAAAATACTTTGCAATGAAACTAATAAATGATTTATAACTTAACTTTTGTGTTGTTATGAAAAGTAGGCCACAGACAGGCGTAAGCCCAAAACAAAAAAGAACAAAACAGTTGCAGTTTTCTTTAGAAAAAACGCTATTTGCCCAATACTGTTTTCTAATGCGCCAGGAATGTTATTTAGCCAGACGCATGTTAAGGAAAGAAAAAAAATTGGGACTGTTGCTATTTTAAGCTGTGTGGGTTTGTTTGACGTATCCTGTCATTCTAAAACTTGTGTCAAATGCCATTTAGTGAGTTACATTATCTTGTTTGTTCCAGTTTTACCATGTTACTTGGCATCCACATTCCATTTTTGTTTTTTTTGAGACCGTACCTTGTCTTCCCTGCTGCACGACATTCGGAAAGCTGTTCAGTTGTGTTCGAGAGCCATGACGGTAAGTTAGGATGCGATGAAAATTTCAACAAAGTTAATTTGAGTTTATTTGAGTTGTGATGACCTTCAAAGTTCATCTACAAAATTTGAAGTTTTAGGGTTCCACGATTCAGATTTCACTTTCTGGAGCACCAAAGTGATTTTGGGCGCCACGATTACGTAATTCTTTTTGTTGGCACTATCTGTTTTTTTGGCTTAGCTTAGCTTTTTGTGTTCTTGCAGCTTTTGTCAATTAGTTTAGTACCGTGTGCTTCTTTTGTTTCATATGTGCGGGTAAGTTCTATGTCTGTTATAGTCTAGTGTAGATACAGCTTGTTTCGGTCATAATATACTTTTATCGCTTTGCGTTGCTTCGCATCGTTCGTTTGGTTTTGTACAGGCGATAAACTATATTGGGCACGTTAAGACATGCAACTACAGGGATAATAAGCACAGGAATAATTAAATAATGAAGAAAAAATAATTAAAAACTCACTATGACGAAATTGACTTGTGTTGCTAATAAACCAAGTGGTATGAAAGTTCGTTTCGAGTTTCTTTATGTCAAAACTAATTTTGCCTTCATTCTCACAGGGTATGCCTTATTTGGTCACCAATTCATCAAATTCAACGTTTCCGACTACTCTGAGTGTGCTTTGAAGTGCATGGCAAATGACACCTGTCATTCATACAATCTTCAAGCCAAAAGCAGTAGGCATAAGCATCAAATGTGTGAATTAAATAACCAATCGCGAATATCCAAACCTGGCGACTTTAAACACAGGCAGGGATATGTTTACAACGGTGCTGTTCCGGTAGGTTTACATGAAACAATTGTCGAGTTTTTTTATGTAGGAATTAATTTTGAATTATTTAATCTGCTATCACTTCTCAAACATTCCAAATAAAGTTCTGGTTTCTTTGCAAACAACCTTACAACCGCTGTATTTTTCTCTTCCCGTTATATGTGTATGTGCTATATACATTTCTGTTTATAGATGTAAATAGGTGAACTATATACACACTTTGATTGGTTCTTAGCCACCGGAGGACAGACACGTTAATGACGTCACCAATGATGGGATTTTACTTCGTTACTGATATAAAACAGATGTATTCTATGTTTCCGTGAGTCTGTAACGAAATAGATCAGGGAAGATGTCATCAATGACACTCAGCTGTACATCGTGCGTCAGTTTAATTTTTTTGTTTTTATATTAATTTGACGTCCTCTATGACCGATTGATGAACAGACCCAAGACAACATGGTCAGTGGTTCTTTGTATCCAACAGCTTTGTTAAATTTGCTTATCATAGGTGTCTTGTGTTCCAAAAATTTGCATTGGGGAAGAAGACTGTCAGTGTCATCCGGGGTACAAGGGGCCGGGATGCCTGACGGGTAAGAAAACCAAAACCATCAGGGCTTCTTTAGTTTTGTTCTATCGTTTTCACATGCTATAGAAATGCTAAGAAAAGAATCAGTGAGACTTTGACCTTAGAGTGACTATATGATTGGTTCGTACCCATGATCTCGTGTCTCATGTCTGGAGGACAGACGCATAAATGGCGTCATCATTCACAAGTTTTGCTTCTTTATTATAAAAATTGATTCCATGTTACCGTCTGTTCAGTTGTTTATTACATTCTCCCCTAGGAATCAGTCAGTAGGTTTAAGGAAATAAAGGAAATGATCACCTACGAGACAAGTCGTTGATCATTAAACGAAGACTCCCTGTCGTTACCGTAGGCAAAGTGTCACGAAAAGTATAGAGAGAATGAGAATTGATGTAAAGGGTTAAAGCACATTTATAGATTGTGTTGATGATGATAAAAACTGCGATTTCGAAACTAAATTTTTATCTCTTTCTTTGAAATTTATCAAGTGAGGCTAGGCCATTTTGCTGTAAATCCTGGGAAATCTTGCAAGCATATTCTTGAGTCAAATGACTCTGAAGGAGATGGGGAATACTGGATCGATCCTGAGGGCAAAGGAAACTCTTTGAAGGTCTACTGTGATATGAAAACTGACGGAGGTAGGTGAAAGGTACCAAGAGATGATACCGCATAAAAATATGCATCGCAATCTGTCATGTTCAAATCATTAAAACTAATCGAGATATACACACTATTTAAGATTTCGCATTTCTACCTAGAACACTTTAGAATTGATGTGAGATGTATCGTATTTATTTAATATTGCTAGGAGGCTGGCTTCTTACATCCATCTTTATGGTAGATAACCCGACCACTCCTCCCGCTTGGACCGCTGAGCCATCGTACCGCGGGATCATCAAATTCACCAATCACAAAATGGGTATCACAATTAGCGCCATGAAAGAACTCAGAGGACACTTGCCATTCACTCAGATGAGATTCCACTGCAGCAAACAACAGGGACGTACGTTCCACGTGACCACGGCCGTTAACAGCTCTGGTGAAGCTGTAGTCGAGTATTTTAGCAATCAGACGAACACCATGCCAGACTCGTGTCTCTCTTTTGTTAGAATGAAAGATGACAACTCTTATCTCTCCGGGAATTGTTCCAGATGGGGATACGACGGATCTTCGAACTTCGTAGGGAAGTGGGGGCATAAAAATAGACAAGGCGAAACACGTTTGTACGATCTCACTGCATTGGTTGGTAAGCACTATCGCTGGAGGACAACCGGGAAATATCGCCTGTGCGACGACAATAAGAACGATACCTTTATAAATTTGTCAAAGGGAGACTTTTGGAAGATTTTTGTTCGTTAAACAGTTACCGAGTCGCAGAACTGACAGGATAAACACATACTTAACTAACGACTTATAATTAGTGGCCTTAAAAAAGTGAAATGTTTTCACGACGGTTTTGCCCAAACGAAACGTTTGAATATTATAGGATAACG